TGCGATGATACCTTTTATATATATAAATCCCAGAGTATTGCAGTATGCAGTGATAACTTTTATATATATAAATCCCAGAGTATTGCAGTATGCGATGATACCTTTTATATATTTAAATCCCAGAGAATTGCAGTATGCAATGATACCTTTTATATATATAAATCCCAGAGTATTGCAGTATGCGATGATACCTTTTATATATATAAATCCCAGAGTATTGCAGTATGCAGTGATACCTTTTATATATATATATATATATATATATATAAATCCCAGAGAATTGCAGTATGCAATGATACCTTTTATATATATAAATCCCAGAGAATTGCAGTATGCAATGATACCTTTTAAATATATAAATCCCAGAGTATTGCAGTATGCAGTGATACCTTTTATATATATAAATCCCAGAGTATTGCAGTATGTAATGATACCTTTTATATATATAAATCCCAGAGTATTGCAGTATGCAGTGATACCTTTTATATATATAAATCCCAGAGTATTGCAGTATGCAATGATACCCTTTATATATATATAGATCCCAGAGTATTGCAGTATGCAGTGATACCTTTTATATATATAAATCCCAGAGTATTGCAGTATGCAGTGATACCTTTTATATATATAAATCCCAGAGAATTGCAGTATGCAATGATACCTTTTATATATATAAATCCCAGAGTATTGCAGTATGTAATTATACCTTTTATATATATAAATCCCAGAGTATTGCAGTATGCAATGATACCTTTTATATATATAAATCCCAGAGTATTGCAGTATGCAGTGATACCTTTTAAATATATAAATCCCAGAGTATTGCAGTATGTAATGATACCTTTTATATATATAAATCCCAGAGTATTGCAGTATGCAGTGATACCTTTTATATATATAAATCCCAGAGTATTGCAGTATGTAATGATACCTTTTATATATATAAATCCCAGAGTATTGCAGTATGCAGTGATACCTTTTATATATATAAATCCCAGAGTATTGCAGTATGTAATGATACCTTTTATATATATAAATCCCAGAGTATTGCAGTATGCAGTGATACCTTTTATATATATAAATCCCAGAGTATTGCAGTATGCAGTGATACCTTTTATATATATAAATCCCAGAGTATTGCAGTATGCAGTGATACCTTTTATATATATAAATCCCAGAGTATTGCAGTATGTAATGATGCCTTTTATATATATAAATCCCAGAGTATTGCAGTATGCAGTGATACCTTTTATATATATAAATCCCAGAGTATTGCAGTATGCAATGATATCTTTTATATAGAAACTGCTATGTTTACATTTGGGGTTAATCCAGCCTCTAGTGGCTGTCTTCCGGACAATTTCCTATTCAGTGCACCCTGATGACATTCCACCTTCCACGCGTCTTTTGGTGAACCTCGATGACATTGTCCAATAGTATTTATGCAACCACTATTTAAACACTGGTTTTGTCAATGCTAATTGCCAGGTCGGGGCTCTTGTAATAGCCCCCTAGTGCATTTATGATTATAACTGATTGAATGGTATGGACTTTGACTTGTTTCCCAAATATTCTGTTTTCTGTACTCCTGATATTTGGCTTGTTTACCATTTACTCGGTTTCCTCCTACACATGAGCTTGTCTCTCTCTGAACATTCTTACAGTAAACCTGGGCACTCTAAGGACTGGTGATACACACAATATAGTTCTCTGTTGTGAAACAGATTTAAGTTCTTTCTATATTGTTACAGTTGTGTGTTATTTCAATGCAATGGGTCATTAGCTGTTGTAAACCACAGAGTTCTCAGGATTATCCAGAGAGAGCAGGTTAAATATTATATGTATTCAACCATTTTCCCTTAGTTTAGAGCAGCCTGGATCACTTAATAAGTGTAAGATAGAAATTGGAGAGTTTTGTCTGTAGAGGACGCGTGCGGTAAGAAATAATTTTACATCAATTTGTGAGTATTACAGAGGATTTATTAGGAGGTAACTATGTGACTTGCTTTAAGAAACAATTGCAGTGGAAAAGGCAGAACAAACAAAATCATAATGAATCATTGCAGTTATACTTCTTCGTATCACATATTGCTGCCAATAGCATGGAGCCTTTTATTTCTATATCAATAATGTAATCAACTTTTCCAGTATCAGTAAGAGCTGGTAGTTGTGCATTTATTGCTAGGTAAAACATATTTAAAGTACAAAATGTATAAACAGATCAATACATAAACATATTACCTGCAAGATGAAAACTCAAGAAGATAATAGAATATAGTAATTTTTACAAGCAAATTTCATTTCTGTATCCATCATAATGCCTAGCTGTTGTAAGAAAAAAAGGGTGTATCTTTTATGAATACCAGAATGATTTTACACTGAGAAGAGATGCTGATTTGTAATATTATTATTTCCCTGGTTGGCAAATTACCAGGTAGTCTCCATAACCATATTTGGACATCCTGTTTTGGAATCCTTTCAGGTGGAGGTAACTATCGGGCTATCGCTGCACGCATCCTTTTTTAGCCATATCGATTCTTTTTCCTTTCTTGTTTCTTTCTCGTGGATGAACTTTTTAATTTATTAGGAATTTAATAATTAGAAATGCACTGTTTTTGCAGTGGAATATGTATATTTTTATATTTGATGTATAATTTATAGACTGGTTTTATTTAATTGATTAATTTTACACATGATTTGTTCATTGTGGTTATGGCTGACACCCTTTAAATAGGGTATTGTGACACTGAGATGATAGCTTGATAAAGGCCTTGGTGTAGGCTGAAACGTTGCACTTTTTGTTCCAATAAACCTGCCTTCCTGCAGCAATCCTGAGTGCCTGGACCTGATTTATTTTATCTACTAAACTGGGTTTTGCCAACCCTGGCCCTGATAAGCACCTGGATTCCTAAGTGTGAGTGCGGTATCCTCAGTTTGTGAATTACTACAGTAATGGAAATATAAACTGTATACTACCATGTACTGTCTGGATCTAAAGAAAGTGACATTTTAAATCCAGGTTGTATTCAATATGGTGAAGTGGGAATCTATTTTGGAAAGATGGAAAAAGTATCACATTTATCACTTATGTGGCCAACATTAGTGGATGAAACTGCCCTTGTGCTCCTCCCACCTGATCTATCTACCACACTAGGTCTTTGGTATTGGTCAATGGTATTACTTATATCCTTCTTCCATTCTTTATCTAAATAGGTGTGTTCATCCCTGAGAGGTGGAGTTGGGTTGCAATACAGGAGTCCCACCGGTTATTATATAATGGTGAGAGCCTCCATCGACAATTCTTTTCTGTGTAATTCACACTTGGGTCATTTGTTTGATCTGTCAGTTGGTAGAGAATTGACATATTCACTATTTTCACTATATACAGATTTCTATTCTTTATTCAGTTTTGCTGATTGAATGCCATCCATTCCTTTATCATGTCTGCTTTTAACAGGTTAAGCCTAGAGCTGAGAACAGACATTTTAGGGCCACTTAACAAACGACTCTCTCTATCATGTGCATACAAGCATTCACATGTACTTACAGAGACACACATATCCCCATACACATATTCCATACATACATCAATGCACATTTCAGGAACAAACAGATATAGATATTCATCCCAGACACACACATGCATTGCCATACACACACATATGCCCACTGAACTACCCATAGATATGCGCTGCGGGGCAGTGACCAGATACACTTACTCCAGGTACAATCACTCACTCTCAGACACACTACAACCCTCCTGACTTGAACGAGCTTTTTACTAGAGTAATTCCTGTACCCTCCTTATGGTGACCCTGGCAAAGCCACAATTTACTTTTATACCTCTGGTGACTACTAGATCTCTGTAAATTGCTATTCATGTAGCATTCCTTTCTCACCTGCTCCACAGCTTTTCACACTTCTTTATTGGATTCCTAATATAATATTTCGATTTTTGCCAACCAAGTGGTCATCTGGTAAAAATTAGTTTTCTAAAAAGCATTGATGATTTCATTTGCTCTAGTGCAGGTTTAGGCAACCTTCGGCACTCCAGATGTTTTAGACTACATCCCCCATAATGCTCTGACACCCATAGTGCTGGCAAGGCATCATGGGAGGTGTAGTCCAAAACATCTGGCGTGCCAAAGGTTGCCTATGCCTGCTCTAGTGTATTTTTTAGAAACTTTAATGTGCTAATATTAAAATCTTCCATATTAGCTCGCTCCCAGTTAGATACATTCAAACCAGCCACACACTAATTAATACCCTGTTGATTACATATTTAATAAAAATCTAGATCATTGGCTCTAAATCTACAAGTGAAGGAAACACACTAAACAAATCGTGTCTGACCATATCAAGCAGTGACACATACTCTCTTAGAGTACTCCTGAAAATCTGACAAACATTATTATTATTATTATTATTATTATCTCCATTTATATAGCGCTCACACATTCCGTAGCGCTTTACAATATTGTGAGAGGGGCAATTTAACTATAAATTCTACAATTACAAGAAAACTTACCGGATCGATAGGTTGAAGAGGACCCTGATCAAATGAGCTTACATTCTATAGGAGGTGGGGTATAAAACACATTAGGACAACTTTGAGATTTAAAGTTAATTGTTCCATACCAATTGCTTGGTGGGGCATTTCAAATCATAAAATCAGCATCACCATAATAAATTTTTCCTCTGCTGAATAATAATAAGATATGCTTTGTATATTGCATTTTCATTTTCACCACTATTTTCTACACTCTTTTACATTTCATTTCTACAGACTTTGCTTTTACTTCAAATAATTTTAAATATTATTCATTTGTCCAAACCAATTTGGCAGTTTGCAGTATATTTCCCAGTTTAACCCTTTCTTAATTATTTCATGTCTTCATAATGACCCACCTCGGTTTGCCTGCATTCTTTTACATAGTAAGTTTTAAACCTTGCATTTGACTGCCTAACTCTTTACAAACAGTTACAACAACACGTTTCAGTCGAAGCTTTTTTCAAAGTGTGTGTCCATTCAGTCCATTTACGTTTTAAAATAGTGGACTGAATGGACACACACTTTGAAAAACGATTCAGCTGAAACGCGTCAGTGTAGGGAGAGTGTTATTGCTGATCTTAATTTTTGCTGCTGTTTCTACTTTGTATCAATAAACCTTTTTTAAAAGAACCTGCATCCTGGGCATTTAAAAGAAGGAACAAGTAAACTGTCAGCATTTGTATCCAGCTTACACCACTCCTTATCCGTTCAACGTTCCTAGTCTGAGCCAGCTTTTATTAAGTGGCTCAGAAATACGTGAGTTTGTACATTTATGCACTATTTTGTAACCATTTGAACGTTATTACCCTACGTTTGTCTCCTGATTTGTTCTTACAGGACTCTAATTGACCATAGGGGTAACAAATTTATTATTTTATATCTTTTGTGTGTGCTCTCACCACTTTTATTATTTTATAAAAAAGAAAATACTTATGTTTATGAGACTGAATAACTTGCATTACAACTTGTTCTTACAATGCATTTCGCTATTTAAAAAAGTACTTTAGAAGATGACCTAGAATACAAATATAGCATGAAGGTTCACACAGAGCTTGCGTGCCTTCACACAGAAAAAAAAAATAAAAAAATTTATATATATATATATTTATTTATAAACCAAAATTATGTTACACTGTAATAGCTTAAACGTGAAGTTTAAATGCATTCTGGATTAGGCTTTTTTGATTATTGCACTAGTTCTTCTCTTCATTAACAGAAATAGATCCATATGTTCACCAGTCTGCTCTCCAAAATTGAAAATCTTCTCTCTCAATGTCCAAGCATGAGTGTCCTGCCCCATATGCGTAATTGTCCCTTTTTACTTCTGTATGCAGAAGTTGTGTTTCAAACTCTAATTGACGGTAAACAGGCAGCTTTGTCCCAAAGAAGGAGGGCAGCTTACACCATATCTTAACAGCTTGTCATTTCTGATATTATTAGATTCATATATTCAATATGTTTATTAACCACTCTGCAAATTTCACACTTGCCACATTGGTGTTATAATTGCCTGAATTAAATATTTTTTTGCTTGAACATACACAATCTGTTTTTTCTTTGTTTTGAAACTGTAGTAATTAACTGAAAATAACACATATTTTGTTTTACAAAAAAGTATGGGTGTAGTTTTTAAACTGTAACTGACCCATATATGTTATTAAACATTAGTTTTGTGGCGTGCTATTTTTGTTTACTACTACACCATTTTTATTTTATCATTTACACTAAATGCCTGACTGTAGCCCACATGGTTCTGTACATGTACTCATAGATAATTCTCTGTGGATGCCTAATCATGCATGAACATAGTCTGAGCATCACATGGTCATAAATGTGCCTTGGATAAAGTAGTAGAGGAAAGGTAAGTTTGTTTAGAAGGTGTAAGTGTGACTATGTAACACAAGCAGCACTTCACAGTTGCACCTGGCATGCAAGTGTTTACTAAGGGTTGAGATTTTGGTTAAATCTGAAAATTAAGCATATTTGTAGATGATTGGCATAGCAGTAAATACCAAGAAAGTCAAAACAATATGTTTATTTATATTCTATTAACATTTTGGATACTACAATATATGCATGATAGTTTACTAAAAATCTGATAGGGGGCAATTGGTTTGGTAATTAGCACGTGCTACATTTGCTACTAAAAGGATGCGACAGGCATAAAAACAACAGCTTTGTATATTTAGCAATATAATGTTCCTTTAAGGTTTTCACATTTCAAAGCAGCAAGGTTGAATGGCTTGGATGTTTTGGCCAATTACATTTCTTTCATTGTCTATTCACAGCTTGTGGGGCCTGAATAATTATGTAACCTTCAAAGCATACTGGTTATAACTATATATGTTAATTAACCTCATCATGAAACCTTGGAAAAACTGTTTTATAGATAAAACTCTCGGTACGTAACACTTACCATTTAGCAGGAACATGTGTGTATTAATATTTTCTTATCCACTACATTAAACATATATGTATTTGTGGTCTAAAAAAATAAATGTAAATATAGAAATCTAGACAAATTTATTTGAATATTTTCTGGAGTTTAGCACTTGGCTCCTTGTGGATCATTGATAAAGTCAATGTCCCTTTAACCTGTCAATTACCATAGATTATACTACAGGGCCATTGAATGCTTCAATCTGATTGGTTGACGAACGTTCTCAGGTGTGCATTATTTTCAAGGAGACGCACGGCTAAAGTAGTTCCAGACAGGAATGACGCATCACAGTTGCGTAAGAAATTAGTCCTACATAGAAGAGCGTTTTACTGACAAAAACGTGACAAAAGTCTTAAAATACATTGCTAAGTTGTTAATACACAGTTAAAAGAAAATGGAAGATCACATTAAATAAATGTTTATGCAAACAATAAGCGAATTTCAATGCTTTCTTCAATGGTTTTGTTTTTAGAGAAGTAGCAGTTCTGTTTAAATCAAATTACAAGAGTAATTAGGGATATTATTAATATGTTAACTGTAGTTATAAAAACAGATCCTATGCATTTTACTGAAAGTTCCCTAAACTGTAAACATTATTAGATCATTGCTGCTTTTACATAATTAGAAGCATAGACTTGAAAATATATTGTGGGAGTCCTCTTTACTCTACCAATCTATAATCCAGGCATATTTAATAATAGCACTATAGACATTGCCCCTGTTCACTTAACTTTGCAATGTTAGTTATTGCAATTTCTAAGAAACTGCAACAATTACATTGCAGGGTTAATGCCTCCTCTAGTGTCTGTATTCCAGAGTTTTTACTCCGTGGAACGACACTGTACATCCTTGCATTTTGAATAAGGATTTTCAGTATCTAGAAAGACCACATATGAAAGCACTGATTTAATGATTTCCAATGGGGAAGCCCTAATGCGTGCAAGGTGGTCACTGCACATGCGCATTATCACTGCCGTAGCAGGAGGTAGATTCCAGATTCAGCACCAAGGGACCTCAGCAGTGGAATCAGATAAGTGAATGGAAGGGTTTTGAACCCTTTCATGACAGGGTTGGGGGACACCATGGAGTCAGAGGGAAACTATAGTGTTAGGAATACAGTTTTGTATTCCTGACACTATAGTGTTCCTTTAACATGTATGGGTGCATTAAGTGTCTTTTTAATACTTTGTATGGTCTGCAAGGGGTTAAAGAAGACAAAACTCCGTCCAAAATTCAAAAATTATCTGATACGGAGGCCAGATAAAAACGTAGAAGAAGGCTTGTAATGTTACACATTGTAGGTTTTGTGGGTTGTTTTATTAACTTTTTGTACATAATCAACCCTTTCTGTGAGAAAGTTGCACGCTTTCATTTATATTGCACTCCCTATTGGCCCACAAAGTTGATAAGGGAGATTAAATCTTCATATGTTCAAAGTTATAAAGAAAAAATAGAAAGAGCAGAAAACAGGAATTTGGTCAGGTTGCATTCTCGTCACATTCTGAAGAAGCTACACATAGCTTAAAGATTTATAGCAGCTCTGAGATTAATAGACTCACTATCATTCTCTGCCAGGCAACTTGGACCCAAATCAGGAAACTAACAGTTGGATTGTGCCTCTGTTCAGGCTAAGGAAACATAACGCAAAATATAAAAGAAAAATCCAATTTCAATATTTTGTTTTATCATGAAGCATTTTTTTTGCTCTCAGTGGTTTTATTGTTGTTTTATTTTTTTATGTTTGGAATAGAAAAATGATTAGAAATTACTTTAAGCAGTTATCTTTCTTGTATGAATTCTTTAAAGCTGAAAGCACTGAAAGAGAATGTACTAAAATACACAATTTGATATACACGTGCTTTGCATGTTCCTTAATGTGCCAGTAAACATAGTGGTGTAATCCTGTTTTTAAATGTCATATCTGTCCCTTTCCTTAATGTCTACATCAAGCACGCAATACCAGTTACAGTTACACACATGTATTCCTAATGTTATAGTGTTCTATTCCCTATTTAAATTCAGGGCCCCCTACATTTAATTTTAAAATACATTTAACGTATTCTTCCTGGAGGCTTTCTCGTCTTTGTCTTCTCATCCAATTCAGTGCCGGTCATAGAAAAGCATTGGGGACTAGAAGCTCATGAGTTGGAAGACCCACACTCCTTCGATCAAATGCTCTTCATAGCAAAACTTTGAATCTAGTGCTTCTTTATTATAACCATTAGAGGATGCCCAACGACCTCATGCAATGCATGATGACATCAGATGTTATAGAGCTGAGTCTGATTCGGTCACAGAGCAGAAGCACTCTCTAGTGGTCGTCAGGAAGACTGCCACTAGAGATGTGTTTATCTCTGCAGATTGGAAATGTTTTATATTGCGGGATGAACATGAGAGGGCCACTGCTCCCACACCACTTCATTGAAACTTTAAAACTTCATTGGTCTGGGCACCCATCGTGTTCCTTTAAGGTTGCCCTTTGTCCCCACCTATGTTCTTGTATGACCTTGTGTATTATTGCATGTATGTTCATTTACAGGAGCAGATTTGTTTATTTTTTTAATCCTTGCAGTTTGGGAGTTATTTATTATGCTGTGACCTCACATCTTGGTAAATTCCTGCTTTCCCTTGGCCTTTTTAGTGCTGAAAAAAGAAGACATCAAAATGGTATGTATGAAATTTTATTTTACAGTGTTAGTTTATTACCCCCCTCACTATTATTAGGGTGAGGAGGGTTGGTAGGGTATTTTTATTGGGGGGAGTGACTAGGGGCTTGGGGACCTGTGTCAGGTCCCCCCTTATTGCACTAGCAACTGGGCAGCCATATCTGCCCAGTCACTAGTAGTTTTAGTCACGAGTAGGGGCATGCGTGAGGATTTAACCTCCCTTTTATCAATATGGTCATAGTGACCCCCATACTGATTTATATTTAGTTTGAAATGACAGCAAGCAGCACTGGCTATCATTTAAAACTTTAAATAAATGTATCCAGTATAGAAGTATAAAGAGTACGGTAAGAGTACGTGTAAAAATTAGTTATTTAGATCAGTAGCACAGCCTTATTGTGTTTCTGATCTAAATAGCTACTTTTTCATAT